CAGGGGGCGGGGCTGGCTGGCATGTGGTGCTGGGGGATTGAACCGCGGTCCCTGATGCTTTGCCAAGCTTGTTCTAAGTAGGTACCTTAGACCACTGAGCCATCTCTCCAGCCCCCACCCCACTCTTCTGTAGCACAGCTGTTTCCAGTCACACCTGGAATCCCTGCACTAGGGGAGGCCGAGGCAAGAAGATCACAAGTTTGAACTGCTGCTGTTTGAACAGCCTGGGCAAACTACAGACTTAGCAAGACCCTGTCTCAAATTAGAAAACCAAAAAGGGGATTTCAGCTCAGCACAAAAGCTCCACATTCAGCCCTCAGAACTGAAAAGAAAACCAAAAGCAAGAGAGCAGGTGGTCTGGACACGAGCTAGCTGCTGAGGCCGCGGGCTTGGCTCTCTGCTCTGCAACATCGTTCCTCCAGGAAGCTGTGCTGCCTGCTGCCTGGGGTCCATGCTCAGCTCAGGCTCTCAAGTCCAGTGACAAGCAGCTGGGTCTCATGGTCGCAGCAGCTGTGGTTTCCCCAGTCTGACCCACAGTGTCCACGTGGCACTCAATGGGCTCAGGGCCACAGCCAGCTCCCAACAATGCAATCCCAGCCTGGTGGCCATGAGATGGCTCAGGCCCCACTGTGCACCTGGGCACAGGCATGGTGCTTCAGACGCAGCCCCATCCCAGAGAACCATTCTTATCTTGCCCTTGCTGCATGGCCGGGGTCCCCAGGGACCATGAGGAAGAGGCTGCACCTCACACTGTCACTGCAGGGCTGTGTCTGAAGCCAGTGCCTGAGGAGTTGGGCAGTTCTGGGCATCAGAGGTCACTGCCACCTATGTCCCTAGGGGGTTCTGCTTTGGGGGCTCATGGTAGAGGAAGGGTCTAACCCCTACTCAGTTCAGGATAGCACGGCACAAGCTGGCAAAGGACCAAGATGCAGGGCTTCATCTCAGGCATTCAGAGTTGGGCAAGACCCACAGGACCATGCCTCTGCCTTCCTTCTTGGCTGTTGCTATGGAGGGCTTTGCCTGGGGGTCAGGAGCCACCAGTGAGTGAGGTCTCCAGCAGGAGGCCAGGATGGGGCATGGAGCACTGCCCTGGAGCCCCCACCACTCACTTCCAGAGTCACTGCTACTCCACGTTCAGAAGAGAAACACAAACTTCCAGAACCACACAGCCAAGGATGGTAAGAGGCTGGAAGCCAGGACCCTCCAGCTGCAGCCCTGCTGTGCTGCCTTCTAGGCCTGGGGGAAGCAGTAGGAGCCTTGCTGGCTCCGTAGGCACCCTGCCCCATGATCGCAGTGTGCTCTTGGCTGATGGCTGCAGGGGCCAGGTGCCGCACACCCGCAGTCCCTGCGGGCCAGGAGGAAATGTCCCTGGGCTCATATGTGGCTCACTGCCCATTGCTCTGGCTTGTTTTCTAGTAACTGGTGCCTTTACCAGATGTCCAGGGTGGTCACCTTCGTAGCTGCCTGCAAAACAGAAAGGTTCCTCGTCCACTCACAGCAGCCATGTCCACAGAGAGCTCCGGACTGCCCAAAAGACAGAGTCATGTGAGTTGGGACAGCAGGGCCTCTGCCTACCCGAGCCAGGCTACCAGGTCACTAAGTTGTCCTCTTCCCCCAGGTACCGCATGGCTCACAAACCAGTGTACCGGATCCAGCAGAAGGTGCTGACAGCCCCGGCCTGGAGGTGCTGCCCGGGCTTCCAGGGCCCCAACTGCAAGCTCCATGGTAGGTTTGGGTGCCTCCTCCCCTCAACATTCAGTTCCTGAGGTCACACAGATCCCCTTGGTTCAACATCGTCACTTCCTTCTGCAGACCCCACAGTGACCGTGTCCCCTGCAGAGATAGGTGACAGCCAACTGGAGGATTGGGACAGGCCAGCTGACTTTGAACTTGGTGCGTTGCTTTCCTGGGGGTGCAGGAACCACAAAGCCTCTCTTAGGATGCTCAGTGCCACTTCAGGGAAACCCTGTCCCGGAACTCAGTGAGGTCCTGGGGCTCTTAACCTGGGCTCAGGGGCTCACCAGGGTCTGGGCCATCCCCTTCCTCTCAGCCCACTGGGACTAGGAAGTTGCACTGTCTCTGGTCTTGGATTTGGCACAAGACACTGTGGGGTCCCTGGCAATGGGATGGCAGACAGGAAGGAGACTGCCACAGTCCCTTAGTCCTGTCTATGGTGGGCAGAGGTGGGGCAGGGGCTCTGCTGCCAGGCATTTGCATTTTTGGTTTCAAGGATTCTAAATCTCTCTTCCTGCTCTGGCCCCCAAATCTCCTCCTCTGGACCTGTGATCCGACTCGTGCCCAGCTCACCCTGCTGCAGAGCTCAGGGAGGCTGAGGAGAGCCTGACACAAGACCTCCAGAATGACATCCACCAGGATGCTGATGGCCTTCCGGGACCCTGGGCCACCTCAGCCACTGGGGACCTCACAGGGGGGGGCATGGAGGAGACAGAGATGGAGCCAGGTAAGTAGCAGGCTTGAAGACAGCCTGGACCTCAGAACCCTGTGCCACACCAGGAAGATGCCTGTATCCCAGCCCTGGCAAACACCGAGCCTTCTGTTGCAGATACCCCAGACAGAACCCTGGAAGGGATACCAGCGCTGCATGCAGATGCCTTCCTGCAAGAGCACATCATGCCCATCTGGAGGATCTTCAACGAGAGTCTGCGCAGCCTCTCCCAGGCCGTGTGGAACCTGTCCCTTGACCTGGAAGCCAATCGGCAGGCTCTCCAGCATGTCCAGGACAGCTCTGTGGCCAGCCCTGACTTCCAGGAGCTGGGTGCCAAGTTTGAGGCCAAGTTTCAGGAGCACAGCAGGCACGTCGATCAGCTGCAACAGGACCTGGAGGGCCGCCTGGAGGCCCAGCACCGGTCCCTGCACCGGGCCCTCGCTGAGGTCCAGGCAGAGATGAACGCCAAGGTCAAGAGGCTGCTCAAGGCTCAGGAACCCCTGGGGACCAACGGTAGCCAGGTCGGGGTAGCTGCGAGACCAGAGCCAGAGAGCCTGCAGGCCAGGCTGGGCCAGCTGCAGAGAAACCTCTCAGAGCTGCACACAGCCTGCAGCTACAAGGAGGAGGAGCTGCAGGGGGCCTTTAGCGACGTGAGGGCCACCCTGGTACAGCACACACATGAAATCAAGGAGCTGTATTCAGAGTCTGATGAGACTTTTGACCAAATTAGCAATGTGGAGCGATTGGTAGGGGAGCTGCAGGTGAACCACACCGGGCTGCGTGAGCTGCGCGTGGACCTCATGGAGAAGTCTTTGATTATGGAGGAGAACAAGGAAGAGCTGGAGCGGAGGCTGCAGGAGCTCAACGTCACCCTGCAGCAGCTGCAGAGCAGCCACACGAGGTACCTCAGCAACTGCGGCTGCCCAAAGCTCTCCACGGACCCGGAGGTCATGCACACCTCGGTGGACAAGCCCGAATCGCTGGAGGCACAGGATGCCTCCTCCTTGTGGGCTCTGCGCGCCACCATGGAGGCCGCATTGAGCACCATGGAGGAGCTCAGGGCTGAGGACGAGCACGCGCGGGCGGAGAGGGCACGGCTACGGGGCCGCGTTCAGGTGCTGGACGGCGACGCACACACGCTGCGGATGGCCGTGGAGGATGTACAGCGAGACGCGCGCCAGCTGCACAGCTCTTTCGCTGCGCTGCTGCAGGACGGGCTGCGCCACGAGGCCGCGCTGGCTGCGCTTTTTGGCGAGGAGGAGCTGGAGGAGCTGTCAGAGGGCGCACCCGGCCCGCTGCCCCTGCGCTATGGGCAGGTCCTCGAGGCGCTGCGGGACGCGGCCCGCGGGCTGCAGGAGCAGGCGCTCGGCTGGCACGCGTTGGACGCACGCGTGGCAGCTCTGGAGCACGCGCCGGGGTCTGAGGAGGCCGGGCTGGGTTGTGAGGCTCCCTGCGCTGCCAAATTCAACCGGTCCCTGCAGGATCTCCAGGGCATGCTCACCGCCGCCCAGCAGGACCTGGAGCAGCAGCGGAGGCTCTTCCATGCCCTCTTTGGCAACTTCCGAGGGCTCCTGGCCTCCAACGTCAGCCTGGACCTGGGCAAGTTGCAGGCCATGCTTGACAGGAAAGGAAAGAAGCAGCAGAAGGAGCCGGCGGCCCACAGGAGGGACAAGGCACAGGAGCTGGAGCAAGGGGCCCCGGGCGCGGGATCCTGGGGGCCAGGTGAGTGGGGCAGGGGGTGGCTGGAAAGATGAAGGAAGAGGATGGTCCCTGTCGCTCTGCATACCTATACCCTGGCCCCACCTGGCACCCAGAGGTGTAGCCAACCGCCCCTTCCTCTGGAACACTTGTTTCATTTGCCTGCTGCAAAACGGGGCACTCACTTGCTGGAAGGAGTGTTAGGAAGACAGACAGCTGCCCTCCCTGGACACCGAGCCCAGGCTTAACACTTGGGGCCCCAGCCAGGGTCCCGGCTCCACAGCACTTTTCAAGCAAGAGGCCAAGTCCACTTTTACTTATTTGTCTATCTTATTTCTTCCTATAAGTGGCTCAAGGCCTTGCCAGGGACTTCACACTTTGCTTAATGGCTATGTAGTTGTATTTACCACTGCATTTATTTATTTTATCTTTTTGACAGGCTCTTGCTATGTAGTCCAGGCTGGTCTTGAACTTACTATGTAGCAGCTTAGGCTCACCTTGTACTCACAGCGATCCTCCTGCTTCAGGCTTCCGAGTGTTGAGTGCCACCATACCCGGCACCACTGCAGGATTTTCTCTTAGGACATTACTCCAGCAGGAAGTCTTGTGGGATCGAATTGTGTCCTGAGGGGCCTGGCACGCCCAGAATGCGCGGACCTTCCACTTTCAGGTGGCACGTGGGTACTGGGCGGGTGTGGTTCCTCTTTGGAGAACTCTGAGGCAGGAGGTGGAGGGAGGTAGGATGCCGGCAGAGGGCAATGCAGGCTAGGCTTCCTCCGGCTGGGCGAGCGTGCCACCTGCTGGGCATAATGGGAACTGCAGCGCAAGCGCGTTCTCTGCATTGGCACCAACAGGAAAATTATTCTGAACGAATTAGATCGCCGGGCCTCAGAAATGGCTCTGGCCTGAGACAGGAGTCCCAGGCTTCCTTAGTCTTTGGTTTTATCCTCTGAGAGCTGGGGGGCGAGGGGTGGTCTTGGTCTCAAACCCTTCCTTCTCCAGAGACACCTAGTTGGTCCTCCAACAACGTGACCTTGCTGGGACTGGGGTCCTTGTCCCGCCGGACTCCAGTGGAACTGGCCCCGCCTCGCACCTGCCCTCTCCCTTCCTGACCTCTCTGGCCAGCCCACAGCCGTTCCTCTTTCACCCCATGGTGTTCCTTCCCTGGTGCCAGCGTGTGACAGGCACCTGACTGTCCCTACTATACCAAAGCTGGAGAAAGTGCTTCCACAGGGGGAGGGCGGGAAGAGCAACCTAAACCAAGAAATCTAAGGTCTGCTCCTGCTTGTCATTCTAGAGCAATAAGTGCCCGCTTCCTGCCCTTGGTTTCCCCAGCTGTAATCGAGGGCCTGAGTGCAGCATTTTGCAGACCACGTGGGAGGTCTTGGGCAGCATTAGTAGGAACCACACCCCCTGCTCATCCAGGGGAACGGGCAGTTGGCCTATCCTCCCTTGGGTGGTCTCAGGACTCCCCATAGGTCACAGTGGACGAGGGGTCAGAGACCTGGGCTCCTGTCCCAGCCCTGTACAAACCATGTCTCTTTGGGTGGCTGGCCAGGTTTAGGCTCTCTCTCCTCAGGGATACTTATCTCTGGAGAAGATCATGCAAAGGAGTCCAGCAAGGAAGGGCTTTGCTGAACAGTCCATCAGCCAGACAGCAGGTCTTGCTTTCTGATTGCATTAATGTTGGGCCTACTTTTATTAAGAAATAGGTATCGGGGCCTTTAGGTCAGAGGTCTAAAGCATCTGCTTAGGCCCACTTAGGCAGGTGCAGGGAACCACAATTCCATTCCAACACGACATGCCATACCAGCCTCACCCCCAGGACATGCTGAGCCGGCCACACACAAAAAAAGGTACCGATTGCAAGCTGGGCATAGTGGTACATACACCTGGAATCCCAGCACTAAGGAGACTCTCTATGAGTTCAAGGCCAGGCTAGGTCACACAGTAAGTTCAAAGGGAGCCTGGACTATACAGTGAGGCCATGTCTTAAAAAAAAAAAAAAAGAAGAAGAAGAAGAAGGCGGCTGGGGAGATAGCTCAGTAGAATAAGCACCTGCCTGGCAAATGCAAGGTCCTGATTTCAATCCCCAGTACCAGAAGAAAAAAAAAAAGTTACTTATTTCCAGTGCTAATGAGGCATGGTCAGGACGTCTGAGTGTTTAGTTCCCCACCCAAGGAGGGAAGGACTGAGTCACTGAGCACTCCATTATCCAATCACCTTCCAGGTGCATGAGGCTTGGGGACATTTTAGACCTAAACCATAGCAATGTGATTCATAAAAATTTTCAAGTCCTAGAGCAGACAGGCTTGAGAAAACTGGCATCTGGACATCAGAAAATAAAGTGGGCCTCGAGCAGCACAGTATACCCCTTGAAGAAGATGTGGTTCAGAGTTCAAAGCCTCAGTCATTTGAAGATTCTTCCTTAGAACCTAACAAATAATTGTTCTGAGAACCACCCCTCACTGCAGTTTCTCTGCCTTTTAGGCTCCCCTGTGGCCTTCTATGCCAGCTTCTCCGATGGGACAACGACAACTGCCCCGCAGACAGTGAAGTTCAGTGACACAACTGTCAACGCCGGCAGCAGCTACTTCCCCGAACATGGCTACTTCCGGGCCCCTGCGCGGGGTGTCTACCTGTTTGCAGTGAGCGTGGAATTTGGACCTGGCCCTGGCACAGGACAGCTGGTGATTGGGGGTCACCATCAGACCCCGGTGCACACCACGGAGCAGAGGGCCGGGGGCACGGCCACCACCTTTGCCCTGGCTGAGCTGCAACAGGGGGAGAGAGTGTGGTTTGAGCTGACACAGGGCACGGTAGCCAAAAGGAGCCCCACAGGCACTGTGTTCGGGGGCTTCCTGATGTTCACCACCTGAGCCCACTTGGCGGTCCTCTGACATCGAGGACTTTCAAAGCCAGCATGGACTACACAGTGAGGCCAAGATTGGCTTTGAACTTGATACCCAGGTCCAGAGCCCCTGGCTCCTGCCCAGGAACCTTTGCAGAGATGTGTGGTGTTCAATGTGTGCCCCTGCATAGGCTGCAGTTGGGTTCTGAGGGGACCAGACCAGCACGCTGCTCTCTGGTTCACCCAGTCCCTGCCAGTGTGGCTCGACCCACATCTGCCACTCCCTGCGTCCTGTCACTTCAGGGTTTTGCTCTCCTCCTGTGGTTGGAAACTCATGTACAACATGGCAAACCTTCCTTCTTCATCTTCTCCCCAAGTGGCTGCTAGAAGGAAAAGTTTCAAGTGGAGCCCATGGGCTGGGTGTAGCATGTGCAGGGCCCTGGGTGCGATCGCCATGATGCAAGAGAAATGAAGGTGACATCTGAGCTCAAATGCCAGAGCAGTGGCCAGTGACTAGAGCAGCAGGCTAAAACCCACCCTGTGGTCTCCTAGAAATGGAGCAAAGGAAAATAAAAAGAGTATCTTTGCTTTAGTCTCAGCCACTCCTATCTTTATCTGGACATATAATTCATCTCTTTGTCTCCTTGAGTTATTCAGGAAAACACCAGGACCTGACCAAGATGTATTTAGGTGTCCCTGACCCCACCTCCTCTAGCACCTTAGGACTTCCTGTCCCTGTCCCCAGCCAGGAAGGGAGAGGGAAGGGAGGAAAGCTGTACTATAAACTCTGCTGCAGTGATGACCACCTTTGGGATAAAGTGACACCCTGCAGATTGTGGCCATGCCTACTGCCCTGGAGCAAAGCCATCTGGTAAGGTGCACAGACATGTAGGATGGAATGAAATTACTTGGGGTAAATGTGCCCGGTATCTCAGGCCGCACTTGACATCAACAGTTTTGGTCAACTCTCCATGAAGTGTCTGACTGCTCTCCTCCTGGGTGGTCACGTTGATGGTACTCAGTGGAGTCTGAGTAGCAGTTATCCCTGAGATATCACTTAGCATGTTGAGGCACTGTCCCATCCCTGGGACCAAGAACCCAACAGCAACAAACTGAGTGGAGGAGGGATTTCCTTTGGCTCACAGTTTCCATTGGTTCAGTCCATGGCTAGCTACCTCCAAGGCAGATGTGGGAGCCTGGTGGAGGAATCGGCTCACTCCATGGCAGCCAGAAAGCAGAAAGAGAAGGGAGGAGCTAGGGAGAGGACTCCACCCTCTGGGCCACACCCCAGGGACCACCTCCACCCCAGCCCTACCTCTTCACAGTTCATCCACTGAAGAGTGAAGCATTCCATGATCCAATCATCTTCATGCAAGAGGCTTGGGAACATTTTAGATCTAAACCACAGCAATGTGATTCATAAAAATTTTCAAGAGTAATCAGGCTTGAGAAAGCAGGCCTCTGGTCATGAGAAAATAAAGTGGGCGTCAAGCAGCACAGTATACCCCCTTGAAGATGTGGTTCAGAGTTCAAAGTCTCAGATATTTGAAGATTTTTCCTTAGAACCCTAATAATTGTTCTGAGAACCACCCCCCACTGCAATTTCAAAAAATCCACAAATATCCCCCACAATTTGGCGGGGGGGGGGGTGGAGGCTGCAGGTAGCCAATCAAAGAGCATTACCCGTTCTCTTGCCTGCTGATTGGCTACTGCCCTGCTACCTGTCTTCCCACATTGGAACACGTTGCTGTACTACATATAGCTCTCTTGAGTATGCTTTGTTCTCCTTAAAGTCCCAAGATCCCTAAGATGCTCCCAAGACACACTATGCCTTCTAAGTCTTCATTAGTATAGTCTTTTAGCTGGGCGGCGCAGGTGCACGCCGGGAAGGTGGCGGAGGCTGGGGCTGGCCGCCTGAGGCGGGCGGCTTCCGCCCTCCTCCTGCAGAGCCCCGCCTGCCCGCCCCGGAGCTGTCAGCTCCGGCTCGGCTCTATCACAAGAAGGTTGTGGATCACTATGAAAATCCTAGAAATGTAGGGTCTCTTGACAAGACATCTAAAAATGTTGGAACTGGATTGGTGGGTGCTCCAGCATGTGGTGATGTCATGAAATTGCAGATTCAAGTGGATGAAAAGGGGAAGATCGTCGATGCCAGGTTTAAAACATTTGGCTGCGGTTCTGCGATCACCTCCAGCTCCTTGGCCACCGAGTGGATGAAAGGGAAGACGGTGGAGGAAGCCTTGACCATCAAAAACGCGGACATTGCCAAGAAGCTCTGCCTTACACCTGTGAAACTGCACCGCTCCATGCTGGCAGAAGATGCTATTAAGGCTGCCCTGGCCGATTACAGACTGAAGCAATAACCCAAGGAAGGAGACGCAGAGAAGAAATGCGCCCTGGGCGCGACTCCAGCGGGTCGCGTAATTCTGCCCACTGCTGCACGAACACTTTCAGCTTCCAGAAGCTCCTCGCACTACTTAAGCTGTGAGATACGCACAATATTTCCCATCCACCTTGCAACTCTGAGCGAGCAAAATACACTGTTTAATCGTTCTGGAAAAAAAAAAGTATAGTCTTTTATTAAATTACATCATTTGGGACTGGTGAGATGGCTCAATGGTCTAAAGCACGCGCTTAGAACAAGCTTAGCAAAGCACAGGGACCACAGTTCAATCCCCCAGCCCCACATGCCAGCCAGCCCCACCCCCTGGTGGGCTGAGCTGGCCACACACACACACACACACACACACACACAAATAAAAAAAAAATAAATTACATCATTTGGGGGGACATAGCCTACTTATGATTTAAACTATAAAATTTATAGGCATTTTTCTGACCATATCTGAAATTCATGATTTTTCACAATTTACAGGTATGGTAGGGTTGTAACGTTAGCCTGTGAACTTTGGGGGACCACTGTATTCAAATTTGCTGAATACTTTTTTTTTTTTTTTAAACATTTATTTAGTGTGTGTGTGTGTGTGTGTGTGTGTGTGGCCAGCTCAGCCCACCAGGGGGCGGGGCTGGCTGGCATGTGGTGCTGGGGGATTGAACCGCGGTCCCTGTGCGTTCCCAAGCTCGTTCCAAGTAGGTGCTTTAGACCACTGAGCCATCTCTCCAGCCCTGAATACTCTTCTTTAGGAAGTCAGACTGGTCTGGGCAATGAGGTGGTAACTGTGTTAACAAGATTCCTACTTCTCACTTTTCCATGAATTCAAATACTTGCCAACCCCTCGCTCTCTTGAATTTATTTGTCGCTAAGCTTTGTGAACTGAATGTGCTAAAGCATTGATGTTCCGAGCAGTCTAGGCCGTTCTGCCTCTGATGGGTTGACTGAGGTGAGCCAGAGCATTCTCCATTATGTCATGCGAGGCACGGGCTTACACGGGCAGCTCACGCGGCTCACCACTGCAGAGGTTCAGGGCTCGATGTTAGCGGGGGAACATCATGACAGAAGGTGTGGCAGGGGAAGCTGCTTGCTTATGGTGGCAGCCTAGGGAGTGCTCAGGGGGAGTGCTAGGGAGAGGGACTGCCCCCAAGCAGACTCCACCTCCTACCAGCACATGCAGTTGTGGACACTAGTAGATTAATCCACTTTTAAGTCCAGTACCCCATGAGCCCCTCCCCAGCTTCCCTTCACCCCCTGAAGCTGGCAGTACCAACTCACACAGGTGGTTAAGCTGCCAACTCTCAGCCTTGAACACGTCTCCCTCACCCCATGCAGCTCTCTGCTGCCAAGAGCAGCCTGAGCTCAGGCCATCCCAGACCAAAGACTGGACACCTGGAAAAGGTGGCCATCACTGCCACCTGGACCAGGCATCTCCATGTGGCTGTCACTATCCAGGCCTCAAGGTGACTGAGCAGAACCATTAGGGCAGAACAGTCTCACTGGGACAGGAATGGCTAAGGAGAAGGCTGGAGAAAAAGAGAAAGACCCGCCTGCATCTGCTCTCGGACTGGATCTGCCTTGTGTGTTAAACCTTAGCCAGGACAGGATGCCCAGATCTAAGCACAGTGAGAAGAGGAATCCAGGGAGCTTCACTTTTGCAGTCAGTCCCCAGGCATGCAACCCAGGGTCTTCTTCAGTCCTAATCCCATGTCACTTGATTATGCAGATTGGACTTCTGTGGACTGTGGGTGCCATCACAGCTCCTCCAAGGGCCATTAAAGGTCAAATCCCACTGCCCAGCAGAGACGCTGAGTCAGGCTGGTCATTTACAGGAGTTAGACTCCTCTTTCACATAATCACCAGTCTTGCTGTTCCACTTGGGTGTCCTATTCTATTCTTTGCTTAGGAAATCAGCAACTTGGACAAGATCCCAGAAAGGTAACATCACTTAAGTAAGACCTGCATCTGAAATTGATTGCATGTGTCTCAGGGACTTTTCTCATTGCTGGGACAAAATACCTGACACCTAAAATTAAAAAAGGAAAGGTTTATTTAGCTCAGTTTGTAGAGGTTTCAGTGCATATGTGACTGGCTCCATTGGAGTCACACATGGCAGCAGTTCATGGTGGCAGAAAACAACAAACAGCAAGAACAAAAAGGGAGGAGCAGCAGCAGCAGAAAGCAAGCCTCTCTCCCTTCCTTACGTTGCATTCAGGCTATCTGCCCCAGGGCAGGTGGAGCATTCACACCCATAATCCCAGCAGCACTCACACTCCTAACCCCAACATTGGATCAGGAATTAATCACAAACTCTAGAAACCCACCCCATGACTACATGAGGATCTGAGGGGGACATCTAGATACAAACTGTAATAGCATGTTGTAAGCAGGGTGAATTAAGTCCCCTCCACAATGGTTCTGGTCCTCAACCTCAGGCCCAGTGCTCTTCCACAGAAAGGCTGTAAATAAAAGCATCTTCTGGGGGGACTGCAGGAAACCCCAAGGTGGAGCACAGTGCCAAAACACTTGAGACCCCCAGGCAGTGAGGCCAGCGGCCATGCCACCAAGGATGCTTCTGGTCAGGTGTGGCCGCCTGGAGTCACCTCTGGGGGTCCCCAGAGAGGTGTTCCCACATCACCTCCCAAGAGCTCCTGTACTGTTGTTCTTCAGCTGTGTGCTCAGTGCAAAGCATTTGTGATCAAAACTAGTCCGAAATCCAGCAGGGCAAACATTAAGTCCTATAGTTCCATGTGGAACATCTGAAGAAGCACTCTGTGATAAGCACTCAGAGACTTCTGTCACTCACACACACAGACACCGCCCTTCATGCTGGCCTCTCTGTGTGGCTCCTTCATATTCTTTTTGTTTTGCTTTTTAGTATTGATTTGTATTAGTCCATGCTGCAGTACAAAGAGGACACCACCCCAGGGAGCTGGTGTGCAATGATGTGCCCCTCTGCCCTCCCCCAATGACTCCCGCCATCTCTCTGGCTTCCATTTTGCAAAAGATCTCACTGTTACGTATCTCTAATTTTTCTCTTTATTTATAATTCGAGTCTGTCATACAAGAGGAACCATGTGATGTTTAAGTTCCAGTGTCTGACAACATTATGATCTCAAGGTGCATCCATTTTCCTACATATGACTCAGATTTATTCTTCATGGCAGAGAACACTCCGTGGTGTATGAATACAGTTTCTCTGTCCACTCA